GGGTCTTTGTCTTCTCAATAATCACTCGCGGTACCTCTTCTTTCCATTCCTTTTCTCCACACTGCCATTTTACCTTTGTTTTTCTATTTCTCATCGCAACTTTTGGCTTATAGGTCAACCGTCTGTCAAAAATAGTGAGAAAGAATTAAAAGTAAAGCCTAAAATTTATCTCAATCCTTTATCCAATTTTTTCAGTCGTGGGGAAAAAAAGCATTAGTCTGAAGGTAAAAAACAAAACAAAAACATGCTGGTCTTATATCTAAGTTTGTTGCACTTCAAGTCTGAAGTGAACGGTGTCACATTTAAGGTAGAGACATCAGAAAATGAAACATATACAGAGAAAAAAGGTGGGACTATTTATATAAACTTTTCAGATTCCCAGATTCAAAAACAAAAATTCAAGTAACTTTCTCCTGTATTTACATTATTTCATTCTTTCTTTCATTTAATAGCTCCAGCATGGGACTTTACTGAAAATATATAAGCTAATCGGAGTTTCACCATTTTATTCTGCCGTTAACGTCCAAGTCCCAAAAATGTGTTTTGATGGCAGACACATTACATCCTATGCCAGGTCACATAATCCAGGTAACTTCATATGTAGAGGACAGGGTTATACTGTATTATACATGATCTGTTACTGTTGATTTACATGTGCATGTTGCAAAGATACGACCAAGAGATCAAAGTCCTTTGAATATACGCACATTATGAATGTATGTGTGTGTTCAGCGAACACAATTTCAGGCCGATTGGATGTCATGTAACGCCGTAGCGGTTTCTAAGCTATCCTAAGAAGTTATAGTACATCTGAAGACATTTCTGGAATGTGAGTTTATCCTCCTCATTTGAGGCGCTTGGTGGCCAGCAGTAGTTAAAATAATCAGACTGTCATTATCGCACAAACCACAGGAGACAAGAGGCATAATTCATAACCCGCAAGAGCCGTGAAGATGACAGGTGGGTCTCATTCATCAATGGGAAGAATTGTGTTTGATTTTAGGGATTCTTTTTGGCTTTGTTTTCTGAACAACAAGACGTTTATTTCTGTAATGATATAGTTGTGGTTAGATATATTCATTTAGAACTTTGTGATGCAGTATTTACTTACTTACTTACAGGTAATACCTGACATAATAACATGCATTTTTTTTCCTACTTTTGTTTATTGTATCTCAGCGCTACAAGCTTTTGACAAAGTGAGTTTTCACGTTTTTGTCATTATGATGAAAGTTGCCCCTCTCTCTCTTATTCCCTCCTATATTCTAGTTATTTCCAAAAGCAACTTCTGAGCAGCTTCCATACCTTAACCAATTCACCTGACCCAATCAATTCACCTCAAGCCTTTCTCTGAGTCAGTCGTAAATCATGAAAAAAATGGCTGCAAAAATGACGACAGTGACAGTAAATAAATGTTTGTTGTTTCTTTCCCTTCCTTGTTTCCCACCCTTTTTCTTTCTCTACTCTTTGTAATGGATGGGATATTGGTGGTGCTGCCCTCTGGGCAGGGTGAGTTGTTTACTTGGGTGTAAAGTCCCCCATCCACCAAGGGTCTCTGTAGGGGATGTCTCAGCCTCACTCCTAACCTCCCTATAGCTCCAAAAGTTAATAGCATGGAGGAGACGTGATTTATATCAGCTTTGGAACCACCACCAACAGACTGACTTCTTTGTGCTCGTGGCCTGTTCAACCAGCTCTGTTCATCAATAAAGATCGCATTTAGAATTCACTCCAAACTCAGTAGATGGTGATTTAATTTCTGCAGAGTTTTTCTAAATAAATAGTCACCCACGTTTTGGAAGTGGCTTGAGGCAATAGGACTGATTTTTTATTCTTCCTGGTGTAAAACTTTTTGAGATAGGATGCAAGAAGGAGCTCTGAGATATCAGTATGCTAGCACAAACATACAACTCTCTTTGGCTTTAGAGTTTGGAAATTCCTGCGTGGAAAAAATAGAGGTTTATATGTTGCATATTTTTTACAGGAAGTTTCCATTTGTTTTGAAGCCCTGTGACCAACAATACAGCGAGCCATTTCAACTGCCCATTAACACGAAAGGTCATTTTCATGAGGACTTTCACATACTGACGCTCAGCTAAACTATTGCCTGCCTGTTTCACCTTTAGAAAGCCACTAATTCAAAGCTTTGTGGAGTGTTTTTTTTAACTCTTTCGGTTCCATACAGAATGCTTTTGAAAAAAAAAAAATCTCTGTTTTGGTCTAAGAAATTTAAACTCTCAGCAGTTCTGAAGCATGTGTTGTAGCTAAAGAAATGGCGTAATCTGCAGTGTAAAGGTACCGTTTTCTGCCCTTCTGTTGCACATTGAATGTGTGTAATTTTAAGTATGTAGCCTCTGATCAGTTACACGTTTTTCATTGTGTCTTCAGTCACGTAAACGCTACCCTTGAATAAGATACATAAACTGGCATAGCATAATCTCCTTACATAAAGGAGTCATTTGCTTATCTATTATGGCTGTACTCCACTTGTTCCAACAGGCCTTTTAACTGGATATGTGGAGTTGAGATTACAAGGTGTCTTGTTTGGGAATGAAAAATGAGGAGCTTCTTGGCAATAATAGTTTTCATATTAGGTTTTTTCAAAGAAAGATCTCGGCACTGACACTAATCCCTGTTGTGTCAGTCTGTGGTTGCCAAATTTTAGTATATCATCTCCTTTGTGTGTGTGTGTGTGTGTGTGTGTGTGTGTGTGTGTGTGTGTGTGTGTGTGTGTTCTTTTCACTTTGAAATATACCAGCACATTGTGTCACTATCATAAGCTTTACCATAGAACTATGGCAGGACGGCAAGATTCAGTTTAACCACAACTGTTTACAGCTGTCAATATATGGACCAACAGCACAATAAATGCATTAAATTGCATGTGGCCTCATGTCACTGAAAATAAGGTGAGTGGACGGGCTGTGTAGGTGATGCCGGCTCTCACTATTATTACACGGCTGTGTCTTAAGGGTTGTCTGGGCTGCTGTCCATTGGATTTAATCAGCCTCTATTACCTGCTACCCTTTTCACAGTTAAAATAATCACCCACAATTACTGACATAAAGGGGAGAGCTGACAGGAGAGTCAGAGGCAGAGAAATCACACACAAAGTAATTTCTCTCCACCTTGGTTGCTTACGTGGCTTTTGATGTTTCGGGGTGTATAATAAAAGGATTGAGGGGTGTCTGGCACGACTCGCCTTTGGAGTAGATATTGAAATGCCCTTTAAAAACACACACACACACACACACACACTGACACACACAGAGACAAGTAAATGTAGAAGATACAGAGTATGCATGGTGCACACAAAAATACAGTCTCACATGAGAGAAAAAACACACATTTATAGTACATACAATACACTAGATAACCAAAAGGGGGAAAGAAAAGCACATGTACAAATACAGACACAGTATGCATTCTCACATACATGCAGTGCACACAGGTGTGAACACACACAGACACCCACTGCCAGTGCCATTAACCAAAGAGCTTCGTACAATTTATTGTATGTTGGAGATGAAAGAAAAAGTGAAAATAATTTAATAATTGACCACCTCTAAAATGAAGAAAATAGAACCACGAGAAAAAGAGCATTGTGATCTACTGTACTTTAATCCTCAACACGCCGCTGAAAAATAAGAGACACCATTAAATGTACCTTTGAAATAAATGGGCCCAATTACTGAGATGGCTGGGGCTCTCTAATGAAGCTTTTGTCAAGGCAGACAAACATGGTGCAGGGACACTCAAAACTGGGTGAGGAGCAGGAGGTAGAAATGGGCGAAATCATTCAAAAATGATCTTTCACATGAAAGTTAAATTCACATAAATGTTAATGGCAGCATAGTTGTGATGCAGGGTCCAGAAAAAACATGACTGAAATGTCCCTATTTGACGAGATAAAGAGTGAATGATAGCAGTCATAACCACATGAGAGCAGTGAGTAAAAAAAATATTCACACAATTAAAAAAATATGCTAAATGTAGACAATATGAACATTAGTCACAATCATTACCAAGAGGGTTGCTCAGTTACATTAGCTGTTATGTGTTCGGGAAGTAAGTCGTGTTAAATGGGTTTAGGAGAGTTGTTTTGATAATGGCGTTTTGTTGAATCTCTCCTTTTTAATTATCAGGTCAGAGGGTAGCAGCTCAAACTCCCTCTTTTTCATCCCTCTTCACAACAGTGAGTGCTGCCGACCCTTCCCACAGCAATACAGAACGCTCTGTACTGCTGGTGTAAAACATTGCCTCAATTACTTTTCGTTGGAGCTCTTTCCCGAGAGTGGATTGAACAAAGAAAATCAGCGATTGCATGAAAAGTATATAAATCAGGCTTTATTAGTTAGGATTGTATGGTTCAAATAGCTCTGCTTTTTATAATTTAGAGAAACGAGTATTTTCTAAAGGGTGGTCGAAAGCTTCTAATCAGGAGATAAGATTTGTGGTATCGTGTGATGACCTCTATATGCAGAAGGCCTTGATCCTTACTCGGAAACGTCCCTTCCTTGAGCTTGATCGATCCAGGAAGGAACCAGACCTTAGACATGGATCTTGTAGATGATTTTGGACATAACAGCTTGTCAAAGGGTAAAGGTTAAGGCCACGAGTGTCTGCTGGAGCACAGACAGAGGTCATAAGGTCTCAGTCAGGGTCAAGACCCCAAATGACCCCAGGTCTGCACTCACAGTTGTTTGTTGCATTCATATCTGTGCATTAGGCACTGTTTTCACTGTGGCTTCCCTTCTTTGTTGCACCAGGAGAAAATCAGGCATTTAAAACTCAAATATTCTGATTTTGACTCAATTTGTGGTTGCAAATATGATTTTTGATGGCATGTTTCAGGTATCCGTGTAGCATAATGTAATACAGTGGACTTTAATAATAGTAATATTAGAATTGAGGGTGACAATAACTCTTACAGCTCCAAATTACGCCCAGATCCTTTATTTTGATATTTGTCTGAATTGTCTGAATTCTCTCTCTTTTAGCCCTGCGACCATCCAGGGTGTCCCCTAGGCTCCATTACCCCCCGCCAACTTCAATCAGACACGTGGAAGAAAATTCACAGATGGATGTAAGGTTTCTTCATTATTATTATTTTTAATGAACACTGTTACAGTAAAAACAACCGAAAACCATATTCACAGATATAATAAATGATTTTGCAAATAAAGAAAACAAACAGGAAATCGGTGACAACAAACATACAACTCAAGATTTAATAGAGACATCACATTTTCTTGATAAAGCTCTAACAGGTTAACAAGTGAAATGTAAGCTTTACGCATCGTCTGCAAAGCCAACGCTTCAGCCTCAGCTGGTGCGTTAAACATAACAGAGTGTAATGTGTACTGCAACCCTACTGTACTATTCATTTCTTCATTACTATTTTATATATGCGTATGATTAACACTCATTGCATGGCTCAGCTCCCAATCTCTCTGTCGGAGGCCTCCACTAAAGACAGCTCAAGCTTGAGAGATTTTTTTTTTCCTCAGTCATTTAAATTTTTACACTTCCATTTACCCGCCTTTTAATTTAGCGTATAATGATGCCATTAGAACAAAATCCATCTGGAAGTTCTGTTGGGAGCGGTTAATGTTCCATGGCTTTTTGCTGCTAATGCCATTGCGCCTGCATTGGCAACAGATGCTCTGAAAGCAACAGATACATTCTCTCACAACATCATTACAATCATGCCCATGTCCAGGATAAATGTTGCTGCTTGTTTAGGACTATCAGACCTGCAATGGGACTGTAAAAAACAAAGGATATACAGAAGGCTGTAACGCTGCCAGTGAATTCCAATTTTTCAAGCTGATGATTCATAAGCATTGGGTGTGATCTTATCCCATAGGAAGCTGAAAGGCAATGATGCCTTTAGAAGTAAGGGGAAAAGAATGAGAAAAGGGAATGCATACATATTTAAAACTTGCAAGTTATTAGATTAAACCATGTACATGAAGTGTTTTGTCACAGCACACTCAGATTCTTTTGCTCCCATTGCAGCCAATTTAGTGACCTCTCTCCCACCCACCAGCAAACACTCTTGGACAGTTCATCTTCTGTGATATGAAAGCTAGAGAAAAAGGCCAAAAAAAATTGATTTCAGTTGCAATTTAGGTGATTAAGTACGGTGGATAATTAATTGGAATAACAAACAATTTCCTCCATAGAGGATTACTGATTCGTCACACTCCCCTACGCTGCCGTGGCCTTTTTATCCTCTCTGCTTCAATTATGTTAATGCTAACTTTCTTTCCCAGAAATTATTGTGATTAATTTTGTCTTGTTTTGAATTACAATTGCACCGGCTTCTAGCACTTTAAAGCATTCATTAATTCCCAATTAGATTGGTGGGCTCATTTGCTCCAGTGCTGCTCGGTTCTGTAGCGCTTTGTGTTTAATGTGCTAATTGGGCGAGATTAAAAACAACTAACCTCTTATGAGAGGAGAAAAGTTATTCAACGGTTACATTAGCATAATTTATCCCGGGATGCTTAATTAGACATTGCCACAATAATCATGAAAACTGACTAACAACTGTTGTCAGCAGTTGGATACTAAAACTGTAGTAAGTTTAGGGTCCAGTTTAATGCACATGCTGGCTTTCTTCAGATCTGAGTGTCTCACTAATGTGTTGTCTGTGCTTATCTCCAATCATCCGACATGTCTAAGACAGTACGGTGTTTTTTTCGATTTCTGCATTTTATGTCTCTTCAGTGCTTTGTTACAACCACTCGAGCAGCATTAACAGCTCACTACTCCATTTACCCAAGACTTGGATTGTCTCTAACTCATTTACCACCATCAGAGGATCGGCGCTTCAGGCAAGCATGAATGGGGTTGGATATAAGGAAAAAAGACTGCTTTCATGTCCCGATGTGATCTCTTCAAATGGGACCTGGAACCTGGGAGTGAAATATTGTTTAGCTGTGTGTACCGCACAAGCTTTTTCATCATAAGATGAGAGATACTGGTGTGTGTAAGCCCAGAAACCGGTCTTGAGAGGTTTGGTAAAGAACTGGGGTTGTGCAGATCAAAGGAATATAAACCTTGATCATTCATCTATCAGAGCTGTGTGTAGGTTTCTGAAGTCTGAACTTTTTAAAAAAAAAATTCACCAATATTTCAGTCTGTCATTTTGTTCAGATTGAATAATATCATCAAAATTTAGAACAGGGCTTTTAGTTAAGTGCTTACCTGTTTTTTATTTACTTTTTCCCAGATTTCCTTATCTCTCACTCACACCCAGGATGTGCAAACGGCAGAGCAAAGGCTATTTGTTAAAGATAAACAAAATAACCCTATAGCTCTCAGACATTTTCGTTTTTGATGTATATCTTTTGTGGGACTCACGGATGAGGAGGCCCAGAGGTTAAAAAAATAAAGGAAAACCATAATAACAACAACAAAAACTTGACCTGTGTTTCTTGCCATGTGACAGTGTTCAGACTGTCATGTGATAGTTGGTGGTTCAACCAGAGGGATGCTCTGTTCAGTTGTCAGGTGCCCAGTGACACTCTGCATTTGAAAAGGCTGCCTCTTTAATGTTTTTCAAACTGCTTTGCTGCAGCCTTAGTAAGTGTCAGAAACCTTTGAATTTTAAAGAAAAACTTCCAGCACTCAAAGTGACTTTGCTTGCTTTTCCTTCCAGCACCTTAAACCTATCAATTATCAAGGGGGAAACTAACAAATTGGCACATGTAAAAAGCAGGTGTCATAAATATTTTGTGTACTTTACCAGCATATCTGCTCAACACCTCACCTGTGTACAGTTATATTTACACGTCACAGGTGTATTTTACATGTCAAAATTTGAATATGGTAAATGGACTAGTTTTATATGGCGCTCTCCCATTCTACCTCAGCACTCAAAGCGCTTTAACATGCTTAAGTGCTTTCTGTCAAACATTCGCTCTCTGATGGAGTCATCAGAGAGCAGCTTGAAGTTAGTATCTTGCCCAAGGATATTTGGTATACAGACTGGAGGAGCCAGAGATTGAACCACCAACTCTCTGATTAGAGTATAACCTACTCAGCCTCTTCCACTGCAACATATTTACTCACCAAAGCTGTCAGGTAACTGTAATAAAATAAAGACTTTAATATTTTCCTGTAAAATGTACACTATAGGCTTTACACCGTATGCCGTGTTGCAATGAGAATCATACCTTTAGTCAAAGAACAAAAATGTCCACACCTCAGTGTATAAGTAATACATATAAAAAGGGGAACTCACAGTGTAAATAGCTCCAACAGAAGTTGTGCTTTTCAGTGATTCAAGCCAAATCGCTGCAGGGACAGTGACCACATGCAAGGTTCAGCGAGGCGGCAGTTCTAACCATTGCTCCACTGTGCTTGCTACATTCAACGGGCATAGACGCCCGTTGAATGTAGCAACATTTTGTTTTTGAGGCTCTTAGCCAGTCCATGAGAAAATGATTCAGAAGCAGTCTAATTCTACCCTGAAATCCTTTTTCTGTCTGCTTGTCCATACACCTCGTACAGAGAGCAAGCAGCAGCTTCTGTGTTAAACCCAGTTCTTATATTGAGGGCCATTACACGGACGAGAGATGGATCTCCGTCTCTAACCTAGAAAAAAGTGTCAGTTTTCAGTGTAGGAGCTCACAGTATTCAAGCCCAAAGAAGGTGCATTAGCTCAGGAGCATGACCAGAAGTGTGCAGGCTTTTTATTTTGAAGTTATTAGTGGTTAATTTGCCCAAGTTCAGATAGTCAACAGTGAATTATATTGTCGACTAAGGCATCGAAGGGGGAATATTCAGTGCAAATTACCTAAAATGTGTTGTGGCATGATGTGCCCGCTCGCTTTGCATTGTAAATACCGGAATTTCTTGGATGTTTTGGCTATGCCAGCATAATCAAATTCGCACTGTTTCCTTCTTCAATGGAATCATTTCAGAGCTTTAACTGTTCCGCATAAGCAGATGTTATTTTGGACCATTTGCCACAACAACTTGAGGTTTCCTGTTTTGATAAATCTTGATAAATATTAGTTGCTAGGTTGGAAGGTTACCTTCAGTCTTAAAGATATTTGTTTGCCCAGTGGGGATAAAGAGTTCACGTAGCTTTACAATTTGATCCATACAGAATCTTTCCTAGACTGCACATACACTAAATAGTAAAAGACCCAAAAGGAACTGGATACACTCACAAGTGTGGATAAGTGAGTATAATGACATCTGGTGTAAATAGGAATGAATGAAGAGGGGTACTATCATCTCAGTTCCAGTGTTGCTTTAACCTCTTTCATGTCTCAAGTGCTCGGACACTGGCAAAATCTATTAGTACCCTTTGAGAATTTCAATGCAGTGAATAGTATCCTATCTAGTGTTTTGTTCAGGTAATTCATGGAGCACTTTGAACAATACTGAAGCATCAAGATGAAAACCATTGTGCCTTGTGTACAAATGGACACTTGCTTATTTCATTGCACACATTTTATCTATATGGAAATGAAATGATGCGCTTTCAAGCTTGTTTGCTTGTTTGTGTTGTCCAGCAGGGACAATGAAAGGAAAATAAGAATTGCCTGTGTGCTGGGAACTTTTGTAGAGAAAGCTCTCGTGGCATTATTTGGGGCAAGAGGAAAGAAGAGCAGGATAAAAGAGATGTCTAGTGTCACAGGCAGCCCAAATTCTTATTTTGGAAAATAACTATATTTTTAAGAGAGTCATTGTACTGTTAGCACTCATCTATACGTTCTACCTCTAAAGATGAAATAATATTTGGGCCATATAACCCTTGCTCTTTTTGATTTTGTTTCTATTAAATTTCCTCATGGCAAGTCACATGGAATAGGAATATTCCATGTGACTTGTGACTTGTAGGATCTGTTGAAAGTTATTTAGATTTTATTTATTTATCTATCTGGCAGATGCCAGGTAATTTGAGAATTTGAGGAAAGTAAAGATGATGGTAGTATAGCTTCTACATGTCTTTGGTGATTCCACACATGCCCTTTTTTGTCATTGTGAAAACTGAAATTAAAATAATTTAGATAATGCCTCAAAACTAAGCACGTGTTCAAGGGGTGAAACTGACTTATAGGAAGACTTTGGTCATAATATGTTTTCAACCCAACTTAATCCAAGCAATCCAAAGATACCTTTCCTTACCCTACCTAAAGATATGTCTTAACCAAACTTGAACTTTTTTATCACTTATTCTACTGCAATCACATTACATTTTATTTAGTAACACACTAATATAACACAATCCTGTACTTAATTCATTAATTATGCTAGAGTTACATGTATATTGTTATTTTTCTTACAATGGTTTTTCAGTCATCTGCAGGATGGACTGATAAAAAAGATTTTTAAAAAAAAGTTTTTTCTCCTGGAAAATGGTGGTGTGGTCTTCACCTTTTGATGAGGGAATTTTTTGGAAATGCAGATATTGACATAACTTTTATTTTTAATCGATTGAAGGGACAAGTGTGCGATGGAAAAGAGCAAACTGCATCCAGGTCAGAGAAAACAGCATTCTGCACAGGTACTACATTAACACAAAAGTTGTGAAGAACCCAGTGTGATGTTAAACCTGAGTATATGCTGACCAAACTAAGCAGCCAGATCCTGATCTTCAGTAACTAAGACGAGCAGTTAGGGTCATAGCTTTGTAGCCTCTATTTCTACATGCACAGCTGCAGTAGAATCGATGGTGATTGCACGAAAGTCTCTTTTTTTTTTTTTCAACTTTGCTTTGTTTTTACACAGAAATACTAAAAGAAAGTTTGTCTGCTGTGTCTTCATTAAGATAGAGATTTGTGTCAGTGTGTGAGCCTGTGGGTGTATATTGTTTATTGGAAAATGTGACAGTGCATTTCAGGTAACATAAAAGTAATTTAACAAGTAGTATAACAAATTACTTTTGTGTAAAATAGCGATCTAACTTGTGAATACAACGATGTATTACAAAATACTGAAACGTTGGGTCTTCTTTTAATTAAATTTTAAATTACATTTTTAAAAATCTTGTAGCAAACAACAAAATTTTTGTCTGTTTTTAGCTACTGTGATTCTCAGGAAGCATAGCACTTCAGTCACACAAAAATCAGTCTCAGCAATATAACTTTGGATAACTGAGAGAACTTTTCACATGGATTTTCAGGTACTTCATACAGTACAATGGCATGCCTTCACAATTTTTTTAGTACTTTTGCATGTTGTTGATAAAGAAAAAGCTGCCTCTTTAGACCTTTCAGCTACTTCTCTTCAATTCCCAACTCAATTTCTTCTACTTCCTGCCACAAACAAGGGACAAAGAAACTCTTGTCTGCTAGCCGTGTCCACTGCCATTGGGACGTTAAGGCGGAGAGAATTAGGAAGGGGCAGGAATAGGGCTCCCAACTACAAGGTAACAAGGGAAAACCAATCCCACCTGGAATTATCCTGATACTGGAGACACAGGGCTCACCAGACAGTGGATCAATGGGTCTCTCTGGGCCGAGAAGGAAGGAGGAGGGGTCCAGAGCAGGATATTGCCCCCAAGAAAGTGTGCCACACCATGTCCAAATTACCCCCAAAGTTGTGTGGGATCCAGTTACCTGTTCAGATGTTTCAGTTTGAATGTTCACTTGTCTGTTTTGGCTGTATGCCCACCCCACACCTACCTGGCTTTGAGACTAGTATTACAGATTACAATAAAACAGAAGTGTTCAACAAGGTTTATTCTGCTGAGGTCTAGAAAGACAATGTAAAGAACAAAAAAGGTCTATCTGGACTCAGTTTAGTTCAAGTTTGGTGGTGGAATTGCTACCTGATAACATTTTCTTTAAGACATGATCACTTGGCAGATTGCAATTCTGCAGATGCACTATAAATCTGGAAAACTAGTAGTTTTGAAAATGGCATGAACAAGTGCCAAAATAGGGTAAACGCACTGTCTTAACCAATCAAATTCTTGCAGGCATACATTCATAATAGATAGATTTGTGGCATCAACATGGAAATCCTGATATTTTGCCTCTATCATGTAGACAGAAGATAAATGCATATCACTTTAATACAATTATAGCTCTATGATGATCAATCAATGATCACAATGAACAATATATTTTTTTTTAAAAATTTAGGCATATGCTGTAGCTTGTGAAAAATTATGACTAACACATCTTCAAGAGTTCCTGCACCACTTTTCTCTCTAGGCGCTACCTGTTTACATCTTTTCTACAACCACATTCATTAAGACTGAGGCTCTCGTTTCCCTTTATCCACCA